ATTTTAAAAACTAAACAACTAAATGATGAATTGTGAAAACTATATAAATTGATAGAAGCTAATATCTTTATGTTGGGTTATTGCAGTTGTCAAACAGCCAAAATACTGAGTCTGCGGTACTTAGCACTTCTGTGGATTTTAAAAGGTTGGATTGATAGGTTTATGTCCTCATCCAGTAGTTGAATGAGAAGAATTTCGTGTATACTAAGTTGTATTTTGTTTGGTTTTCTATTAAACTGAACTAACTATTTTAAAAACTCAAATCATCTCTTCAAAAGTTTATCCTCCAGGGATCATTTGTGATCTCCTCGCGGAATAAAAAATCAACTATGTAGATCATCCATTTTACTTTTATGATTCACCAGATGGTTTAAGCACACCTATGTTTGCATTGTTTTCTCAGACCAAACACTCAGAATGCTGCGAAGCAGGGGAATTCTGTAACAACGATCAAATCAAAAGCTTTAAGATGCAACAAGGTACCATCAATCTAACCATGTGAGCTGTCTTTTGTGTTCTCTTTTAGAGTTTATGGAATATGCTATTGTGAAACTATATCATGTCTTCATACAGATCTTCCCTAGTAGCGAAGATACTAGAATATGTGAAAACATTGGAGAAAGAAGTACAACCTCAATGGTAATGCACAATCACTTTGTTTACTTTTATCGATCTTCCATTAAGTATAGTTTCTTTCTCTGCTGTTACATGAGGCTCTTATGAGTTATGTCCTATCCTTCCACAGGATTGTAATTCTACAGTCGATACGAGGCTTCCAATGCATCCACCAGTAGAACTGTTTAATAAGGTATGTGCTTCAACATGAAAGTAATTTAGTCATATCCGATTGCTTTTAACTGTTTGTATATGATCTTAAACATGAATTGAATGCATTATATATCTTTATATTCATCATCTTACTCATGTCTTCCAGCCAACTAATTTCAATCGTCGTTTTGTTTTTAATCTCAGTTGTCCCTTAGATCTGAAAGAGAAAGTAGTGTAGTATCTGATCAGCCAAAAATCTATGCATCTTGAAAGATGCATTAGAAGTTTTTTAAAGAGGAATTTATTCTTGTACCTGCTGCATTCGGAAGCCAAATCAGTGTGTGCCACAAGGGGCACCGCACACCAAGGATTGGATACTAGTCCAGCATGAAAAGGTACCTGTTTCTTCAATTTCGTGAATAAGAAAACAGATAGTAAGATAACATTAATTGTTGAAACTCCTTCCGTTTCAATTTGCTTGTCTAGTTTTGACTAGGCACAAAGTTTAAGAAAGTAAAGAAGACTTTTGAATCGAGTGATCTTAAACATGTCATGTGGAAAGTTAGAATTAAAGAGTTGCCAAAAAAAAAGAAGGAAAGAGACATTCTTTTTTAAACGGAATAAAAAGGAAGGCAAGAGAAACAAATTGAGGAGGGGGAGTAGTATTGAAAATAGTGATTGAATGCCTAGCTATCTTATTGTTTGCCTGACCTTCTCTTTAATCTTTGTACTGATCACTCAGGTACTTGGAATACTACAAGAAGAATGCAGGATCAAGAAGTTCATTTCTTAGGTCCATCTGGCTGTTGTTCAGGATTGTATTTCTTCAAGTTGGTTCTTTGAAGTAGAAAATATATAGAACTTCTAAGATTAGAGAACCTACATTCTTGGATATTGGAACGAGACGAATCTAAATGGAACGAAATGTATAGTGATGATTAATAGTCGACTCCAACTAACTTTGGATTGAGGTTTATTTACTTGTTGTTGTTGCTGCTTAATCAGATAAATGGAAACTGGAAAGGAAGGCATCTTTCTGGCTCACGATCAAGCTCAACTGCTAAGCAAAGTACTGAATGTTGGAAAAGAAATTTACTTAGCTTTGCAAATTAAGAAAGAAAAAATTTACTAAGTTGAACAAATGAATTTGAATAATATTTATATGTTCTTTCAAATTTTTAATGCAAAAATAATAAAAGGGCATGCTGAGGAAAAAATCCAAAAATATGAAGAAAACATATTACTGTCTCATAGTCTTTATTCAGAGTCTAATTATAAAGACTTTTTTTATTTTGAGAAGTTTAGCCATGCTTATTATTTTTCAGCTTCCGCATAATTCAGCGTTCAATCTTATAGCTTGTTAAGTCAAGAGCGACCCCCTCTTTCTCGACCCCATTTATGATGCATACGCATATCTCTCTATATTAATTTGTATGTATAGAATACTCTTATTATACACTTTATTTTGGTTACCCCCTCTTTTTTTTATCCTAAATACCTAGTATACAATGTATATTCATATAATATATAATCTCTGTATAATTTTTGTCTAGTATATTTAACAAGAAAAAGAAGAAGATAGAAAAAAAAAAATAAGCCAACGAACCAAACTACGCTCGGAAGTTCGGGATATTGAAATGCAAGGGAGATTGATTCTGATGAATCCTCGACTCAAGGAAAAATAGGCCAAAAACAAAGGAGTAACAAGAGTACAAAAAACAATAAACAATAACAAAAACAATAAATTGTACTCCCTCCGTCCCATTTTATGTGGCAACATTTGACCGGGCACGGAGTTTAAGAAATAAATGAAGACTTTGAAATGTTTACCAAATTGCCCTTTTAAAAAGTAGACTCAATTTCTCTCTCCTCATAAATGTATTGGAGTATTATTTTAAGATTAAGTGGGACCAATAAGGATAAAAAAGGAATTGTACCTTTAAATACTTTCCTTATAAGGAAATGTGACATTCTTTTTGGGACTGACCAAAAAGGAAATGTTGCCACATAAAATGGGACGGAGGGAGTAACAAACAATACAATAGTCAAGGCACAAAGAATCAATAAATAGTAACATCAAGCGAATTAAGATAAGAAACTACATTAGCAATACACTGCTAATATGAACGGATCGAACATCAAAACAATACACTGCTACCTATTACTCTTCCCTTCTATCTAAGGTTATGTCCTAGGTAGGCTAGAGTTGCGTTATGTCCATTTTAATCACCTCTCTTTAATACTTTTTCGGCATACTTCTACCTCTTCTTATACCCACTATATCCAATCTTTTGCACCTCCTTACTGGAGCAGTTGCGCATCTCCTCTTCACACACCCAAACTATATATTTCATCCTTGCTTTACTCATCTCATTCACAATGAAGGCTACACCAACCTTGACTCGAATATCTTCATTCCTAATCTTATACTCCCTCCGTCTCATATTAGTTGATCATTTTTCTTTTTACACGCATATTAAAAAAATCATATATAAGAAGATAATTTTACTAATTCACCCCTGAAAAAACATCTTGAAAATTTTACAAACAAATGTGAACACTTTCAAAAAGAATAAATTGTAAGGGTAATATAGGAAAATTTTAATTAATGCTTTCTTGATTTAGTAAGGTGGACAACTAATATGAGACAATTATTCTTAATAAAATGATCAACTATAATATGGAAAGGAGGGAGTAGCTCTTAGTATACCAGCACATCCTTCGCATTATCCTCATTTTCACAACTTGTATCTTTTGAACATGAAAGTGCTTGTTTAGAAATAAAAAATAAACCTCACCCCATTGTAGTATTGGAATAAGATTAAAGAAAAAAAGAACTTTCAAGTACTATATTATAATAGTAAAATATTGAAAATAATTTTTTAAAACTTATTACTTAGGGGTGTACATTCGTAATTTGATCCGGTTTTTATTTTCTTATTTTGGTTTTTCGATTTTTGGTCACAGGATTTTGGTGTACTGAACACTGAATTGAATTAATTAAGTTCGATTCGATTTCTTATAATTCGGTTCAGTTTGATTTCAGTCTATTAAGTTTGATTTTTTCTGTTATGGGCTTATTTAATGTGCTTTTTCAATTTTTATGATTATTTTTGTTCAAATTTTCAGTTTACTGGGCTAAAAAAAGGAATAAGGACCCGTTTGGTCCCAATAATACTTGGGGAAAACTTGGGAAGTGGTGTTTGGTTATATAACTTGGCAAATATATTTGCCAAGTATCCCACGTTTCGAATTACTAGAAACAACTAGTATTTGGCCAAGTTCTAATATTTGGAAATTTTAAAAAATTTAAAAATTACCCAAACTTTTATATTTTATAAAAATATCCATTATTTATTAATTTCAACTAATATTTGTTACTACCTCCTCCGAAAAAGTTTAAGTTCTAATTTGAGTGATAAAATTGAGAAAAAAGAACAATTTGTGTTTAATGGGTTATAATTATAACTGAATCAAAGACAAATTTGAGTATGCGATTAATGAATTGTCTTGCCTATATTATTATTTTGTTATTGTTGATTGTTATCAATTATATTATAAGGTTATTTTTAACATAACATATTCATTATAAAATGCTAATAAAAATATATGGGGTTTCTTAAAATAATTTTTAAAACTTATGAGTATAAATCATATTTTTTGAAATAGTAAAATATTCTTGGGAAAGATTAGGGCTAAACACATGGTGTAATTTCACCAAAAACTTGGCCCAAATATTATTTGCAAAGAATATTTGGAAACTTAGGCCAAACGCTAGCTAAACCTATACTATACTAACAAGTAACAACCAACAGTAAGTAGTGGACTATAAAGTTTTACAAAACCTAAAAGAATCCAAATTACATTTGTACCAATATATAATTTTTGATTAAATCAAAATACAAAAGTACATATAAATCATGTAATCAAAATTTAAACCGTAATATCTAAACAAAAAAAAAAATCAAATTAATTTAATTCAATTTGATATTTCGATATTTATGCCCACTCCATTTATAAGCATATAATAACTTATGCTTATGAGCGACAAGTCTAATTTAATTCTTCTAGCCCTAAAACTGACTTTCACTCCAAAATGTCCAAAAATATCTTACGACACTCCCATAAAAATATCTTTGGTTGAGTCTATTAAATCGGACGGTTACCATTGATTTAATCAGTTCTCATCAACCCTATAAAAACTCAAACCCTAAACCCAGCCTCCTCCTCTTTCCTCTCCTGCTTCTGCGCCTAACTGCAGAATACACCGTTTTCGGCAGGAGAGCAATTCCCCTCACATCAAATTTATCATGCCTGCACTTGTTGTAACTGAAGAAACAATGGCCTCCGAGGTATCCAAAAAGAAAATGAAGAAGACACCCAAAACTGATCTTGAAACTCCTACTGATAAGAAAACCAAAGAGAAAAAGTCAAAAAAATCGAAGATTGATTCTGGGTCTGATTCAGAGGACGCAAAAAGGAGTAAAAAGAAAGAGAAAAAGCGAAAAGCTTTGGACTTGGATGGTGAGAAGAGTGATACGAGCTCAGAGATATGCGAGCCGGTAGATTTGAAGAAGAATAAAAAGGCTAAATTGGACGAGGAAGAAGTGATGGTTGAGAAGAAAGTGGAGGATCCTAATGCTTTGTCTAATTTTAGGATTTCAAAGCCTTTAAAAGAGGCTTTGAATTCTAAGGGAATAGAAGCACTTTTTCCTATTCAAGCTATGACTTTTGATGATATTCTTGATGGATGTGATTTGGTTGGTCGAGCTCGTACTGGTCAGGTATGAATTCAGCTCTTGATTCTATCATGCATATTTATTATTTACTTGCCGTGCTTTAATTATGTAAATAGTGGATGAGTTTTAATGGAGTAACCAGTTTGTATAGGACTAACACTTTGTTTGGATAATTATTACAAATTGTTTGATAATGGATTGCATTATATTGTATTATGTTGTATTGTAATGTATTGATGCATTATATTGGATACACATATTTCTTACCATGATGTCCATTAGGAAGAGACCTAGAGACCCTAAATTGTTTGTAAGGTTCTTTGGTCTCTTGCTGCTAGAGATGCACATGTTTCCTTTGATGAGAAGCTTACTTTTGGATTGTGATAAAGGTTCTTTGATTTCTTTATTGTCATATATACAGATTACCCTTTTGAAGAAAAGTTTATATATGAATTATGAGCTGCATGTTTCATATTATAAATTATTCATCAATCAAGAATTTAAACTAAATGGCAATAGTGAAATTTAGTCCTCATGTTATGAATGTTAATGGTAAATTGATTTTCCTGTTCCTTTTGCCGCTGCCAGAAATTTCATGATAATGATTCTGACTATTTTGGTTAACTAGATTGTAAAGCAGAGATATGACTTGACTTCAATTTGTGCTTCTGTATTTGCAGGGTAAAACGTTGGCCTTTGTTTTGCCCATTTTGGAGTCCCTAACAAATGGTCCTACTAAAGCATTGCGAAAAACAGGATATGGGAAGGCTCCTAGTGTTCTGGTGCTTTTACCTACTAGGGAATTGGCACTTCAGGTATATATTATCAGCCTTCTCTGTTAACCAATGGGTTGCATTTCTTGTATGTAGCATCTTGTTAATTTGTTAATTGCAGGTGTTTGCTGACTTTGAAGTTTATGGCCGGGCTGTTGGGCTCACTTCGTGCTGTCTGTATGGAAATTCTCCTATGGGGGCACAACAGGCTCAACTAAAAAGAGGAGTTGACATTGTAGTGGGTACTCCTGGAAGGGTTAAGGTAGGGTTTGCTGATATACAAGTTGAATTTCATTCACTTTTATGGAGTGAAAATTGACTGCTTCAAAATTCTGCTGCAGGACCACATTGAAAGGGGAAATATTGATTTCAGGTCTTTAAAGTTCCGTGTTCTTGATGAAGTCGATGAAATGTTAAAAATTGGTTTTGTAGATGATGTCGAATTTATTTTAGGTATGCATGAGTCAGAAATCTCTTCCTACAGAAGTTGTGGTTTCTTACCCCTCCATATCTATACTATGCTGTTACAGATATTAGGATGAAATTCTTTGACTGCTGAAATTTGCCAGTGCATTACTGTTCTGTTGCGGGATTTTCTATTTTATGGTTATTGACACGTTTATGCTTTTCTGTTTGTTTTATTCCTTTGTGATTCAAAGGCAAGGTCGAAGATGCAAGCCTAGTTCAAACCGTTCTTTTCAGTGCCACTTTGCCAGTCTGGGTGAAGCATGTATGTTAGTTTTACCTTTTGTTTTTGAATTCATAATATAGTATCCTGTATTATCAGTTCAATTGTTCTCTGCCTAAGGCTTGGTAAACAAACCACCTGGAAGTTGGAAATTAGAGGGTGGGTGGGGATGTACAACTGCTGCGCTCTTAGCTTGCACTTCTTTCTCTCTTACTGAAACATGTTTTTGGTGCCAGATTGCTTCTAAGTTTCTGAAACCAGATAAGAAAACGGTTGACCTTGTTGGTAATGAGAAAATGAAGGCCAGTAAAAATGTGAGGCATATTATTATTCCATGCTCTAGTTCTGCAAGACCTCAGCTGATTCCTGATATCATTCGGTGCTACGGCAGGTTGGTTGCTTCTCATTTTCCAGTGTCTTCCATTTAAAGCATGACATGAACCTCTGAAATGATTATAAATTTTTTGTTCTATGAAAAATTAGTGGAGGCCGCACAATTATTTTTACTGAGACAAGGGCCCTAGCTTCAGAGCTAGCTGGCTTATTGCCTGGGGCAAGTGCTTTGCATGGGGAGATACAACAGAACCAGCGTGAGGTAGAATTTTCTGAAATACATGCTTTATTTTACTGTGCTCTCCTCATCTTCCACCATCTTTTCAGGTTCTCCCCTTCCGTTTAGAAGGATATCAATTCCTCAGAATTAACCACCTTACACTGTTGATTATGCAAATATAAAATGTGCAGTATTTGTCATCAACTTCCAGACTCATTAACAAATTGATAATTATGTGCAAGTCTAGTCTCATAGTAACAACTAACAACCCTTTATCATTTTCACATGTTCTCAGGCTACACTTAAAGGATTCAGATCAGGAAAATTCATGACATTAGTGGCCACAAATGTAGCAGCCCGTGGATTGGATATCGATGATGTTCAGTTAATTATCCAGGTTTGTTACCACATTCATGTTCCATGCTTGATTCTTAAAGTTTATTGGTATTTGAGTGCTGATTGTGATTAATATTTTTGTTCGTAAAGTGCGAAGCCACTAGTGATGTTGAAGCATACATTCATCGATCTGGAAGGACAGGACGGGCAGGTGAGTTTCTGATGTTGGAATTGCTTTCATTAGCTTACATAAATTAGGGAGCATTCTCACTAACTTTATTTTTCTGTCACATTCTAGGAAAGAGTGGTGTGGCTGTAATGCTGTATGATCCAAGGAAGTCCAACATTTCTAGAATTGAAAAAGAATCTGGTGTGACGTTTGAGCATTTATCTGCTCCTCAGCCAGCTGATGTTGCCAAGGCAGCTGGGAAAGAAGCTGCTGATATAATTGCGGATATTTCCGATAGGTATGGTTTTCATTTGTGCCTGGTTAATTTCAAATGTATCATTTTATTAATTTTCATTTCAACTCTCTATAGTGTCATACCTGCATTTAAGGATGCTGCAGAGGAGCTTCTGAATACTTCTGACCTATCACCAGCAGAGTTGCTTGCGAAAGCTCTTGCCAAGGCTGCTGTATGTTTCTGTTGTCTTTATTTATTCTCTCTGGGAGGCAAGCCTGATCTTACTGTTGACTAACTTGTGTCTTGCTTTCCAGGGCTATTCTGAGATCAAGACTCGATCGCTTCTTACTTCTATGGAGAACTGTGTTACTCTGCTTCTCGAGTGTGGGAGACCCATCTTCTCACCTTCGTGAGTATTTAAAATTTGAAATATGTTGTTTATTGAATTTCAAGTATGAATTGTGGCTTGTGCACTTCAATGCCTCAAATTGTGGGTGTGTTCGGTATTGAAGGAAAATGTTTGCTTGGAGAATGTTTTTCACAAAAATAAGTGGTTTCTTACTAATATTAATGTTTGGTATCTAAGCAAAAAGTATTATCCTAAAAACTTCTGTACATAATCTTGACAAATATTATTGGGGTGTGTGGGGTGGTGCACCATGGGGCTAACAGGGGTGGTTGAATATAAACACATCTTTTGAATGCACAAGCAAGGATGTAGGCAGGGAACCATGAATGTTCATAGTCTCACATCAGTGTTTCTACCCATTTATATAAAATTAGCTACAAAATGAAGTTGGTAAAGGAATTTCACTAAATGGATTCATGAACAAGTAAGTTTCTCATTGTTCCCAATAGGAAGTAGTGAATTACATTACAGGTTTACTGCATCTTGCTCAGAGATTCATTGTGCTAAGCAGTGGTCTTAATTTACATCAAACTGACCTAAATTTATTTCGAGACATGATTGCCATAGCAAAGCCTTATAAACTGTTGTCATGTTCAGTCCAATGATTCTGATTTTATTTACTGTCATATTATTGGCAGCTTCGTCTATAGTGTCCTGAGGAGGTTCCTGCCTGAGGAGAAGGTTGAATCAATCAATGGTCTTACTTTGACAGCCGATGGAAAGGGGGCAGTTTTTGATGTAGCTGCTGAGCACTTGGATGAATTTCTCTCAGGTAGAGTTCTCCATTTTTCTGCAGATGATTCAATGAACATGCACATTATAATCATTCAACAGTAGTGGTAAAATTTGTTCTTACGTTTAATTCAGTCATTAGAGTTGTTCACTTTATTTTTATCATTCCTTTTTATTTTTATTATGTTTGTGTTTAGGCAGGTTAGCTCTGCCTAGTTTGTATATTTGATTAATGGGGGATCATAACTGTTGTTGCTTTTCTAATATCTTCTTCTCCCTCTTTATCTTTTCCTGTGGGATTTTCAGGCCACAAAACTGCACATGGGGTAAATTTAGAGGTAGTGGAAGCACTGCCTCCTTTGCAAGAGAGAGAGAAGCCAAGAGGTGGAAGATTTGGAGGTGGTGGCCGTGGTGGTGGCTTCGGTAACAGAAGAGGCGGAGGTGGCTTTTCTGGAGGAAGAGGTAATGGCAACTATGGTCGCAGATGGTAAGGAATGGTGACAATTTTTTTGACAGCTGACAATACAATAGTGTTCACGGCTGCGTTCAAAATTTTGGTATAGTGAAGAAAATGTATGAGACTTCAGTAAGGTTTCTTCTGTATTAATTTTACTAATTTTTATAGGTATCTCCTCCCTGTACCCTGCTTCATTCTGCTTTTCGCTAGTTGGCTTTATTGTAGGGAAAAGAATTGTAGTATTCCGTGTTTTACGATATGTTTGGTTAGACACTTTTAAGTTATTATTTATTTTGTATGGTATTGTTACCTGAAGAAAACAGATTTCAATTATATGATTCACAGATTTTTATAATTATTCCTCCAAGCAAGAGGAGGAAATAAGAAAATGGAATGTTTGATTCTATCATCACCAGTCTAATTTTCTTGCGTTAGAACAATGTTTCTTGCATCCCTGCTACTTGATTTGCTTCACGATAACAATGTTACGATTGATCCTTTGGGCAATATATCTTGGACTTCAACGATGGTTTTATTCAGATGTCGGGGGAGAATAAAAATACATTTTGAATGGTATGATATTTTCTTCAGCAAAGATGAGTTCTCTTTAATCTTGCTAAACTCTAAACAGTAGCAGTTGAGAAAGTCACACTGGAGTAAATATATGCCACCTAACTATTCAGGAAATTGTTAATGTGATAAAAGATTTTCTGTTTTTATCCACTGAAAAAATAATGACCTTTTAAATCTAAGAATCAATTTATTTTTTATTTTATCCTTGCTAAAAGATATTTTTACAAATCATATAAATATTAAGATTATAAGTTTTAAAATCTTATAGACACAAATTAATGTTTATGACTACAAATTTCGAAAATCCTCTATCAAATACATTGAAATAGATGGAGTATTATTTAATTCAGAAAATGACATAAATGGACAAATGTTTGAGGTATATTTATAGTACTCTCTTAAATAGTGTACTACTTTAAGCAATTTTGATCCCTTAAATTTATTCATTTTTTATCTCCATCAAATAATATAATATAATCATTTGTAAATTTTGATGAAAACTAAGGAAATATTTTTATTTTGGCTAGAACTCACTTTCAAGGAAGTATAATTTTGTTATTTAAGGTCTATTTTCTAAAGTGCGTTCCAACTTTAGATTTTTTGCTATTTTTGGTGTTTAGCATGGTTTGTGTTGCGATTTTTAAGATTTACAAGACTTTTATGCTATTTTTAATTTAATTTCTAAAATTTAACGGACAAAATTTGCTAAAATATTTAAAAAACTTAAAAGAATTAAATTGCTCAAAAATAAATTTTATAAAATTACTTAAAACGCATGCCAAACGTAAGGAATTAATTTTACCTAAATACACAACTTATTTTACCATAATCTCTAATATTCTCTACCACTTGAAAAAAAATTACAAAAAATTCTATTTCTCCTATTCTCGGATCCATCATTTTACGCGATGTATAGGTTGGATACATCACTTTACGCAATATATCGGTATGATACATCACTTTAAGCCATGTATCGAGACGTACACGAGGTATCTGGACATTAAGTGATGTATTCGAAATCGAGACGTGATGTATCGAAATGTTGAGGGATGTATCCGAAACCGAGATGCGATGTATCAGGACGTTTTGGGATATATCTTGTAGACACACAAATTATTCTAAGCGAATCGAGGGTCTACTGATGCCAATTGGATATCAACCACCAGAGTTGCAACAATTTGATGGAAGCGAAAATCCAAGGCAACATATTGCCCATTTCGTCGATACTTGTAGCAGTGCTAGTACACATGGTGATCTTCTTGTCAAGCAGTTTGTTCGTTCTTTAAAAGAAAACGCCTTTGATTGGTACACAGACTTAGAGCATGAATCAATTGATTGTTGGGAGCAATTGAAAAATCAATTTCTTAATCGTTTTTTACAATACCCGTCGTACAGTGATCATGATGGAATTGACAAACACAAAACAAAGTAAGGATGAACCCGTAGTGGACTACATCAATCGTTGGCAAATGTTGAGCTTAGATTGCAAGGACCAACTTTCTGAAATCTCTGCAGTTGAAATTTGCATACAAGGAATGCATTGGGGCCTTGAATATATCCTTCAAGGAATTAAGCGTCGAACTTTTGAAGAACTAGCTACACGCACTCATGACATGGAGTTGAGCATTGCAAGCATGGAAAGACATCACATGTCTTTGATCCAAGGAAAAAAGATGCACAGTTCAAAGAGTCATTAGAGTACACAACTAATGAGTCCATGGTGGTAACCACGAGTTCTATGAAGGCCTCCATGAGATAAAAGTTGAAAGGGATCGCGGTGCATCAACAAACGCGAGAAGTGAAAAATCAATCTAGTTTGCAGGAGTTACAAGCAAAAGAGTATCCCTTTCTGGACTTTGACGTTCCTGCGATTCTTGATGAGCTGCTAACCAAGAAAGTCATTGCACTCCCAGAGTCAAAGCGACCCAAAGAATCCAATAAAGTCGATGATCCTATGTATCGTTGGTCATCACACCACAAAATGCTTCATTCTGAAGGAAAAGATCATGACATTGGTACGAGAGGGAAAGATCATCATTGACGATGTTGAGACAACTGAGATAAACCATGCTAGTGTCAAACTTGATCATAAAAATGATTCAATTTCAAATGTCCTACGTCCTGTGGTATCGCCAAAAAATTGAAGAAGGTGTCATCATACTACAGTTTGGGAGCTTTGAACCAGTTGAAGTTTCCGCCTTGAAGAAAACAACAAACACATCCAAGGTAGATGACTTCTCCAAAGAAGAGAGTAGTGACACTTGGACTTTGGTCGCTCTCAAAAGGCAAAAGCATCAAGGGACTTCTAAACTCTGACTTTCAAAAGTCGACACAAAATCAAGTACAAATCAGCTTCAACAATGCGGACGCATAAAATTCAACACCAAATCGAAGTACATTAATTCTTCATCACAAAAGGTTAGAAGGATAGTTACATTGATGGAATTCTTCCCTGAAATGCTCCTTGACGTACTAGCCTAAACTACAAGTTGAAACACTTCTCAACGCACGAGCCTAAACTGCAAGTTGAAATGCTCATTGACGTACGAGCCTAAACTACAAGTTGAAATGCTCCTTGACGTACGGGCCTAAACTGCAAATTGAAATGCTCCTCGACGTAAGAGCCTAAACTACAAGTTACAACGCTCCTTAAGGTATGAGCATAAACTGCATATTACTCTTGGCCCGCAAGAGTATAAACTGTGTACGGTCCAAAAAAAACTGAAATAAAATAAATAAAACTCATCATCTTGATCTACGATATGACTTGATCCTCTTCACTGAGGTACGCAGCCGCTTGGAGTAATCACTCTAAGCTCAGTCACATGAGTAAAAAAAAAGAGAGGAGGTTTTGGTGGCATTGCGTGATCATCACACTAGCTCTTTAAAATTATGTAGCTAGCATGTGAGTTCAAATGCGTCACAGATGAGCAAATGAGAAGATTTTTGGAGTCTACTTCGCAACGTAAAAATCGGCTCATGATTTAGAGGTTTCTACGCTAAGTTATGAATTTTCTACCATGGCCACTCAAAGCTGGAAAAAAAAGATCATCATATTTTGGAGTTGATCTGAGCTGACTCCGAAGGACTATTTGTGAAAAATCATAAATAATTTGATCATGATTTTTACACATATTTGCAGCTCTTGGAGTCCACTTTGCAATGAAAAAAGCGGCTCGTGATTTCGAGGCTCCTACCTCAAGTTATGAATGTTCTATCATGGCTGCTCAAAGTTGTGAAATAGACCATCATAATTTGGAATCAATCGGAGCAGACTTCAAAGGCATATTTGTGAAAATCCATAAAGATTTTGATCACCATTTTTATACACATTGAATTTCTTGAAGCCCTCTTAGCAACAAAACAAGAAGCTTGTGATTCAGGAACTCCTACATCGAGTTATGATTTTGTTGCCACAGACGCGCGACACTTAAGAACTGAGCAAGGCAGAATTGTAGGCTGACTTTGAAGCAATGTCTGCAAAAATCCATAAAGTTGTTGGCCGTGAGTTTTACATATGTTGTAGATGTTTGAGCTGTATTTCCAACGAAAAAATAAAACCATGATTTCAATACTCGTACTTTGAGTTACGAATTTTCTACCACAGATGCGTGAAGCTGAAGTGCCGAGAAAGACAGAATTGTGAGCTGACTTTGAAACAACATCTGTACCAATCTACAAAGTCTTTGGCCTTGATTTTTACATATGTTGTATTTCTTTGAGTCGTCTTTCTCATGAAATAAGAATCTCATGATTTCGGTGCTCCTACTCCGACTTATCAATTTTATACGATAGACGCGCAAAGCTGCGAAACAGAAATATCAGATCTAGAAATCAACTTCAAAAATTAATTTTGATCAATTTGGAGGGAGTTTTGGTCTAAAATCTTGATATATTGCAGAAGATTGAGTTTTGTTTCTTAAGGATCAAGCATATTACAATTCTATTGCTCATACATCTGGGAACGGATAGGTGTCAAGTACTTATTCACCGAAGTCGGAAAGGACTTATCGTGATGTCAATCTCTCCAGCCAGATGGAATGCGGTCACTCTTAGCCTCTTTATCGCCAAGACTCAAGGATAAAAGATGCACCACGTGCTCGCTCGCCAAGAATGGAATGTTTACACTCAAAGAAAATTTTGTTCACAAGGCAGTAATGATGTCCACCAACTACTTGCTCGCTGAAGTTTGAAAACTACCTCTAGTGTTGCCAAAAAGGGGGTCTGACTGCTCCAAGCTCCTTTATTTCCAAGAACAGTGGCGGAGCCAGAAATTTCATCAAGGGTGTTCAAGATTTTTTTTCTTCTAATAAGTGAGTTGAATGTTATTTGTTTAACCTAGGGATTCTACCATGAACGATCTCAACATTTGTCAATATCAAATATAAACAATCGAGTTTTTTTTCTTTTTGATGCATCGATTTTATATGATAAAAAAAAATATGATTATTATTTTTATTTTTAAAGTGAAATATTGATAGAACAAATGTGTCTAGCTTTACGAAACATAAATCACACCAGTAGAAAAAAAATTCTTAAAAAAAGAAGAAGATAAAACACATGTATTGATATATAAACACAAATTTTTGAAGTAAAATGTTGGCTTTTTTGTTTTCACCATTCGAAAGTGCATTATATCCTAGATCAAAATT